TGTGAGATATGTGAGAAGGATTTCAAAAACCAGGGCGGCCTGAGAATCCATATCAAAAGGATGCACAAAGAGGCGAGAGTGACTTTTGCATGCAACAAATGCGGAGCCATCTTCAAATCTGAAAACTCGAAAAAAACCACAGGAAGACATGCGAGGGAGACAGGAAGAATGAAGATGGAATCCAGACATGTGGCAGATGTGACAAAACCCTACAGGCCGGAAACATAGCCCGCCACAAAAGACAGAACTGCACGGGAAACCGGGTACCAGAACACGAAGCAACCGAACAACACCATCAACACGGCGTCTACAAACAGAAAGGGACTATATGTCTGAGATGTAACGAGAGGAAGTCCGCGTCAAACTTACCAAAGCACCTAAGGATATGCACCACGTCCAAGAATTAGAATCGATACTGGGAAAGAAGAAGTTCATGGGATACGCCAGTGGGATATTCAGTGACTTTGAAAGACAGAAGCAGAAAGGGTCAACAGTCACAGATTACAATGCAGTAGACGAGAATGATGAAGTCCAACGAGTGATGAAGGAGTTGGAACCATTACTGGAAGCGTCGTGAAAGCTTAACTGGAGGAGCATCATGTTGACACATGGTGAGTTCCCCTGCCATTGCTTGCCACAAACATGGTGGTATCCCGGGCGTAGTAATCTGGTGTTGATCTGGTTATGTGGAGAGCTGCTCTCCATGGATTTACCAGATTCATCACAGTCCATAACGATAGCAATAGTGGGAGTTAGGATGGCATTACGATGGCTGGAAGCTCATGTGAAAGAGAACAATCGACAAGAAACGCCTACGAAAGAGCAATTGCAGGAATTGGATTGTCTAAAAGATTTAGACCTTTTTGAGACAACGTGCAAAATCCTGAATATTCCGATGTAAGAGAAAAAGATATGGGCCAGAAGGCGACTGATGCCATGGTTCAAGAAGCATTTGTCGAAACACAGCAGAGTGTACGGCGTGTATCAGCTGGACATTGGGGCAGGAGCTTTCAAGCGAGCTTTTGTAACTCGTCGGAATGCAGTAACCACCGCAGAGAAGAGGACGTCTAGGACACGTGAATGTGACGGGAGAGAAAGAGAAGAAATGTTGAAGGAAGACTTGGAGAAAAACGTGACGTTGTGCCTCCACAACAGCCGAAACTGGGAGACTAACGTTGATCCTGTACTTTGTTGCAAGCAAAGAGTAGAAGAGCAGAAGTGTTGTAGGACTGCCTCCAACAGCGTCAGAATAGCTACCGACGTGTAACAATCGTTACAACGCGAATACCGAGAACAAGGAAGGGTGTTGGGACGGCGTGTCCAGCCTTCCTGAAAGAAATAGGGACGTTCTTTCCCCGGATTCCAGTATCCGGAGGGGTCTCGGGAGGGAGACTCAAACTGTTTTTTATAAAATTTTAGCTTCCTGGAGATGCCTGAGTTAAATTCGATTTACATCGAAAACCATTTTCAGACCATGAGAAGCTAGGAGTCGAGGGAAAGGGTTGATCCATCTTCGATGGAGATGATGATTTTTATCTACTGAACAAAAATAATCGTAACTTAAAAAATAAGTAGTAGCCCTGTTTTTAGGAGTGACCTCATGGTCTGGGGATACTGAAACCCAGCCTTGAGCTCACTATTTTTGCATATAATTAAGTTATTTAGAGCGTTCTGATCGAAGCCGGAAACATTAACGTTTTTTGTCGACCCGTTGTTAGAAAGACCACCAAAAAATTGGCGTTGGCAGAGACGGTGAAAATCATGTAGAGCTGTGTTTAGACACTAACCAGTCGTTTTAGAATCTAGCTTTGTTTTCCATCGATATGTATTTCCGGGCTAACGTTACAAGTTTGAAAATTGAAAATTGTCACAACTAGCATAAAAATCCAAACGGAAAATTCAAACAAGTCCAGTACTTGTTTCAAACAAGACAAATACTGGCAAAACAAATAATTATATGCATAATATGGATCAAGTATGCACTTCCACCCCTCCCCCTCCCCCTAGTGACCCTACGTAGAATATGTAGAATATCCCCCTAGACCAAATTGTAATTTTGAAAATTCTTTCTGTGTAAAATATGCATTTCGAACGAAGCATTAATTAAATTGAACCAAGTTAACATTCTACGGATCTGTTATCAAAAAACATATCGGAAGAAGCCTCTTACATAGCCTAACAAAGTTCTAGGAAGTTATATCTCCAAAAACTTTTATAAGATAAATTATTTTTGCTTGGTAGTCAAGAATTGTAGGTTTTACTATATAAACATAAATTATATTTTTTAAAAAAACAATTGTTAAACAATAAGCACAATTTTTTTGAGATTTAAACCTTTTAAAACTTTGATGGACTGTGTGAGAGTCTTCTTTGTAAGAGGTGTCTTTCAAATTGTGCCATTGTAGGCAAATTTTTGAAACAGTACCCCTAAAACCTTCACTGATCCCAGTCTTGCTGTTCTTAAAGCAACTGTTCAGAGATTTAGCATTTAAAAATAGCAATTTCTTTAGGTTTTTCAACGTCCCCCCGTGCAGGATAGCGTCTATTCACGGAAAACTATGAAAACAGAATTTTAATTTAAAAAAAAACATTAAAACTAATGAACTACTCAGGTTAAGGGTGGCGCCGGCGCGGAAGAAATGCAGGCCAGTTTTCATCCGTAAATTAGCCTATAATTAAAACTCATTTATTAAAAGTAATCGGTACTTTTTTGCGGACTGATGCCTACATGATTCGTTGGAAAATTCAAATTGAGTTGATGCATCTTTTCGTAAACTTGCATCGCATTTGAACTTGCGATCGCATTTGAGCTAAATATGCAAATGCGATCGCAAGTTTATGAAAAGATGCATCAACTCAATTTGAATTTTCCAACGAATCATGTAGGCATCAGTCCGCAAAAAGTACCGATTACGTTTAATAAATGAGTTATAATTATAGGCTGATTTACGGATGATGCCTTGCGGTACTTTTTTGCGGACTGATGCCTACATGATTCGTTGGAAAATTCAAATTGAGTTGATGCATCTTTTCGTAAACTTGCGATCACATTTGCACATTTAGCTCAAATGCGATCGCACAGCTCAAATGCGATCGCATTTGCGTCAGTTTTCATAACGATCGCTCACTGTGAACAAAAGTTTACTTGTAAAATGTTGCAGGTGGGGGGAAAAAGAAAAAAGAGCCGCATATTCTGGGATAAGACCCACCAAAACTAATGTTCTTCTTGGTACCACTCTTCGATGGCTTTTGTGCCTCTGCGATAACTAGATGATTGATGTGCTTTGAGCCAAGTTAAAGACATAGCTGTCAACTGATGTTTATTTACCGACTATTTTATGGTATGATCGCGCACGACAGCAATTTTTCTTCTATTTCAAAAAAATTCAATGAGGGTAATTATTTGAGTGCCAATAAAAGCTAGTGCTCAGTTCCGCAATCCTTTTCAATTCGGGCTTTGCAATTTTCCGCAAGTAGACACGGGATAGGTGAAAAAAGTATCCAGACAACTTTGACTTCATTGATGGAAACTTTATGAGAATCTTTCATAGCAACCTAAAGCTAATTAGTTTGATTCCAGTTGACTATCCGAGGCTAATTTTTCAGAGATTCTAAGAAGCGATTGTATTTTCATTTTTGATCCCTGCCGAGCAGCAACGCATTTATGAAAGCCGAGAAAATCCAGAAACGCTTAAAGTCTCAAGTTCATTGGTATATACGCACCGTTTCAAATTGAGTCATCGGCCATCCGTGAGCTAGATTTGTTCTGTAGTATTTCAGGATTATCGAGCACAACAATTTTCACAAGGACGACTTGTACATTTTGAAGCTGTGAATCACTCTGTCATGGAAAATTCTGGTTGCAAAAGAGACTGATAAATCCCAGTCTCATAATTTGGGCGTCTCTTGTATAGTTCGAAAGCTATTTTTTTTGTTGATCGGACTATCTGCGTTGGAAATTCACCTGTTTTAGAACGATATCTGGCATCTATGGTTTGCATTAAAAACAACTCAAGCCGAAGCGGATTGAGGGAGGGGGTGGGTTGGTGCGTGTTTTGTTCCGCGTACACGCTTTTCTCAGGAATTCGACCCCGTGTCGACACAAAGGGTCCCCCTTCGGTTCTTTTTAACAGAAATTCTTTTTTAGCTTATCGACCCTAAGGCAATATTTGAAGGCTCTATTTGAAGGCGCTATTACATACTAATTTTGAGGGGGAGGGCGCGCCAAAAAACGCAGTTTTTTGAGTTTTTTCAAAATTGAAACGCTCTGAATATGCTCACTGCCTGTTTAAAACGCTCACTGCCTGTTTAATAATGTCTTCCGTATGCATGTTTTTCGAAAAGGGGTGAATTTGTAGTGCGGTGAGCTTGCCATAAGGTGAAATTATGAGCTCATTTCAAATCTGGGGTTTCAAATCTGGGGATCATTTGAAAAGCAGCAAAAACGTACGAAACCACTTTTAATACAGCAAGAAAACTAGAAACTTCCTTCGTTTGTGAGTTTGAAAATTTGCGTGTTTGTGTAGCCCTGCTTACCCAAATTTAAACAAGATGTTCTGAAAAAAATTTAAAACGAAACTTACGTTAAATTCATTTAAGGGTTTTTCTAAAATTTAGGTTAAAAGCTAGATAAACATGCAAAATATCAAACTCAAACAATGAAAGTTTCATTAGTTTTTTTTGCGGTATTACAAGTGATTTCCTACATTTTCGCTGCTCGTCAAATCACCACAGATTTTTATCACCTCATGTTTTCATACCATGGCTAGTTTACCACACTACAAATTCATCCCATTTTAGTTCCAGTAACTCAAGTGTTTCCTTTGAATTTAAGTTTCATATCGTACGTTAAAAGAGATCAGCAAGACATTCCATCAAAATCATTGCCTTCAATGTCTTTTAAAAAATCTCAAGGTCTCAAAAACAAGTCAGTTTTATCAAACTCTGCGTACAATTTTCCCCCTCTACAGGTCGAATGAAGTGTATTGCGTCTTTATTACCTGTCGCTCAGTTGCTATGGACTGGTTTCCGAATTCACCACTGCCATGGAATCCATACGCCCACTCCTCCTCCCACCCGTCATTCTCGTAGAGGTCAAACAAGTTCAGCCCAATGCGAATCCAGTCGTGGTTAGGCTCTATGTGTTCTATTCGTCCTACCGTCTGCCTCTCGTACCTTAATACATCCATTTAACATGTTAAGCAAAACTCAGAATTAAGTTTCTCGTTCGATTTGACTCGGAATTTGACCGAAGCAATTTAACCGTGCCACGGTTGTAATGAAAATCTCAATAAGACAATCGTGCTTTTTTCATTGGACTAAAACTAAGCAGGAACTTGAATTCTATTGCCTATTTTTTATACAGTGCTGGTTTAAATTATCCGGACAAAACGAACATAACTTGATTTTTCAAACGCATTTTTCTCAAATTGGGTTAACATTAGACAAAAAATGAAGGTAACAAAAGTTGCTTAGAATTTCACCAGAATTAATATGGTGCCATTTTTTCTCCGAAATTCTTAACAAAAACTTTACCCCAAAAATGGGTCAATTTGGCTTTTTTCAATTAATCAAGAATTACGCTGAAACTACTTTGTTAATTGATACGACAATTATATCACAGGAAGCCTCTTACGCAGCTCAACAAAGTTTAAGAAGGGTTAAATCTCCAAAAATTTGCGCAAATTGTTTAAAATTTATTTTTTAACAGAGATTCTGGGTTTTATATAGTAAAAATCACATTTAATGACTATCAAGTGAAAATTTTTTCTCTTATACTGGCTTTTGGAGATTTAACCTTTGTTAAACTTTGTTGAGCTGCGTAAGAGGCTTCCTGTGATATAATTTTCGTATCAATTAACAAAGTAGTTTCAGCGTAATTCTTGATTAATTGAAAAAAGCCAAATTGACCCATTTTTGGGGTAAAGTTTTTGTTAAGAATTTCGGAGAAAAAATGGCACCATATTAATTCTGGTGAAATTCTAAGCAACTTTTGTTATCTTCATTTTTTGTCTAATGTTAACCCAATTTGAGAAAAACGCGTTTGAAAATTCAAGTTTTGTTCGTTTTGTCCGGATAATTTAAATCAGCACTGTACAGAGCGTTCCGATCAGTCTGGCGAATGGTTTGAGCAAAAGAAACTAAGAACTTTACACTATGAAAAGTGGGGCTAATGCACCATTTCAACGTTTTTAACCAAAAGGTTTTTGCTCTAACTCGGTTCAACCTTAATTCAAGCTGACGTCAAAAGAGCTCTGATCTCAAGGACAATCAACGGTTGCTTTGGCTAGCTTGCGCCTATTTATCATACAATTTTAGATTGAAAAAGTTAATGGTATGAACATGATTTATAGCAGTCTTTGGTTTTGCTCATGGGTTACGACACGAGTTGCTTCTTGAACCGAAAATACGATTGCTAAGGTCCAAACAATTCATTACGAGGCCAAACTGTGCACTGGATAGGCGCACAATTTTTTGTATGTACGCTCCTGGATTCAAGAATCAAGGCTTTAAACATGCTAAAACAATTTCGGAACGATCAAAGAGACTGAAAGAACGAAAGAAGAACAAAAGGAGCGTCCTTGTTGCGGAATCCGTTTACAATTCACAAAATACACATTTTGGCCTCGTAACATTTTAACTTGATTGAAGGAGATTTAGCCACACTGAATACATTACCCACACTGACAAAAATGCTTTCAAGTTCATTTAAAAAGATTTGAAATTGAATAAATTTGATCCAAATTGAATAAAAGTGTACCTTTTACGAACTGAAATGGAATCTGAATTGATTCAAATCGATTTTTCTTGAAATTTTTAACCAACCCGCACTGGAGTTCTATGGATAATAATCGATTATATTGAATTTTCGTGGTCTGTCTCAATAAATTTCGATAATATTCAATTATAATAAATTTAAAATGGATTATAATGAAAAAATTTTTCTATTCAATAAAATCCGAATATAATCAATCTTAATCGATTTTAATCGATTATTTTTGAAATTTGTTTTTGAGGCAAAATAATCCATTTAAATCAATTATAATCGATTGTAATGGATTTTTTCGAGAGGTTAGTCATGAATTATACAATTTTTTTTCAAAGTTATCGCATTTCCTGTTTAGAGCATTTGCTACCTATTAGGTTTTTAGGCTTCATAAAATGTTGGATTCGAGTTTTCAATCTTTATAATTTGGTCTTATTAAAACGGGCCCTCCCGTTTTCCTCCCTGTTTACATCCCCCCCCCCCGCTTTCCTCCCTCTTTACAAACCCCCCCCCCCCGTTTATACAACCCCTTCCTCCCCCCCCCCCCCCCCCCAGTTTAGACCCCACCGGTGCGGGAATTTTGGTGCGGGAACTTCGGTGCGGGAACTTCGGTGCGGGAACTTCGGTGCGGGAACTCCGGTGCGGGAATTTAGGTGACTGAAAAAAATGATGTAATTCGATTTGGATGGATTTTCCTAAGTCACTAAAATCCATCCAATTCTCGCCAAAATCTCTTTTTACTCATTTTAAGGGACACCTGATCAGATCACTTTAAATCTAAAAAAACTCTTTCACATCGATAAAAGCAAAGTTTTTGTAACAAATCAAAGAGATCGTCAATAAAAAACAGATTTTGAGCTGAAAAACAAGCAATTAAATCGTACAAAATCATCAAATGTAAAGAAGTTTTGAGCACCAAACCTACGGAATGAATCAAGATAATGATCCAAGCGAATCAGACGTTGAGCTCAAAAATTTTGAGAAAAACCTATTCAACAAATCAAGAAATTAGTCGAAAGAAATCAGATGGCAACTTAAGTCATTCCAAAATGGAAGGAAAGTTGAAATTTTAAAAGTTTTTGCCCTTTTTATTATGCTACCAGAAGTTATGGATGTTATTTTATTATGATTATAGAAATTATTGGCAATGAACAAACGAAAAAACAAACTCAAAAACTGATGAAATTGAAAAAATCCAAGTTAAAACAACCTAAATCCGTTTAACCTCCCTAAAAACACATACTGGAAAGTTGGATTTATATCGATTTAAAATATTTTTGGATCAATTTTTAGCTGTTATTTAAGATCCATTCTAGCCCAATTCTAATTTTGTCCGAAAAAAATTTAGTTTTTTTCTTAATCTTTAGATTTTTGTTCATGCTAAAATTGATCTTAGTCCATTTCCGTCTATAGAAGTAGTTTTTAGAAAAAGGACAGCCGATCAGTTTTGTCAAACTACTGTCGTCCGTGACCAATCTCGTTTGGTCAAAAAAAATTACGGTTTTTCGGACAAAAAAACTTGTCTCTCCTCGGCGCCTCGAATTTACAGAACTCGTCATAACAACAACGCCTACTTTCACGCATCTCTAGTGAACAGAAGACATTAACTGTGACCTGTTATTCACCTGTTTTACGAAAAACACAGCAACGGAGGCCTTTCAGATATCGTGAAATAGAGGAAAAAAACGGAGGTATTTTCACGAATCGTGAGCTAGCGGGCAACAACAAGGGCCTATTCAGGAATCGTGGAGCAGACGGCCACAGCAGAGGCCTGTTCAAGTACTGTGAAGAAGGCAAGAAAAAAGGCCTTTTCAGGTATTGTGAGTTGAAGTTCCAGATCAAACTGCAGTCAACAGCTGTCAAGATCTCAGCGGTCCTGTCATTGAGTAATTCTAGCTCAAAAACTCATCACCGGTGTAGCCAACTTTAAAAAACTGTAAGAATGTTCTTACTTTTTAAACCCGATTAAGGTCGTGCCTGAAAATTATATATCATTTTTTATAAATGAGACATTTTGAAGCAAGCTACAAACCGGTCATTTTTCTCCTTAGTCAAAATTTACGGGTAGTTCTTTTGATTTGAAAACCAAAACAATCTTTCCCTAGACAAACAATTAGTTGTTACTTCTCCAAGCCAATTTTTTTGGATAAAATTTTTCAGTATCTTGATCCGCGAAAAAGTGACAGATACAACAAATAACAAATACTAAACTAGTTTTTAGTTTTGCTTATGACTCAAAACCGCTCAACAAAGTTTTTTCTCAAAAAATTTCTATAGAATTCGATAAAAATGCCGAAAACTTTTGAAATTTTTCTTATATCTTTGCAAAACTTTACTTTGAATTGAAACCAACCTTATAGTGAATGGCATGGCAATGAACTATTAGGCAAATTGACTTACATTTTCTCATCCTCAAGTTTCTTCTTTGTGTATTGTTGGAATTCAACCGACCTACTCAATCTCCTTTCCCATTAGTGAAAAACAGAGAATTTATCAAAGAGTATACATTCCTTCAATTATCATCGAACAAACGGTGTTCAGACTGGAAACTAGTTCTCAGTTTATAACGTTCAATCGTAACACTCTGTGTTTTATCAAATGTAACTTTTGCTAAGGCAACCATTTCCCGAAATTCTAACTTTGAAAATTCCGTATGCGGATTCTTTTGCACAAATTTCTTTTTTCCTTCTGTTCCCAACGCTAAGAATAATCTAGAGGCCACTCTTTTCTGTACCTCATTATAATATGCCTTGTGACCGACCTTTGGTCCTCTAGCTCTTCTTTCTTCATTTTCCAAAAGAATTTTGTCCCGCGCCAATTTGTCTCTGGCCTCTCTTTCTGCAATGGCTTGCGCATTTTCTTGTTCTCGTGGTGTCTCCGGCCGTGGTAACGGCTCAAACAAAGTTTCTCTCGGTTCTTCTAACAATAATTCAGGATTCACGCTCTCCTTAACTGTAACTGCCAATAGGAATTGATCTAACCATATCTTGAAATTCCAAGGAGGATCCGAATTCGCTGTTGTCCAGAATACAGGAATTCCCATATCCGTTCTATTATCTTGGGACATAAATCCTGCTGACTGCGCCATGTGATAATCCGATACTTCGTTCTTAGTTAGTTAATGAAAACAGAAGAGTTTATATCTTTAATTTAAGCTCTGGTCAATGATGTTTTTGTTTCAGAGATCTTGTTGATCACTCTTTCAACTTAGTTCGCAACCGTCCAAATGACTGTTGCATTAGGCCTGCTAGATTGGACTTGAATAAGTAAAACAATACATAACAGATTATTAATAATAATATTTCTCCAAGGTTACTGTGGCAACAGTACTACACAGTACCACAACATCAATCGCTTCGCAAACTTACCACTCCATTGGAAAATGTCGTTACAGAGTCCTGTTTCAAAA